AAAAGGAGAAGGAATTAGAAAGCATTTTCAGACAAATAGTGGACAAGAATTTCCCAATCTAAGGAAAGAGTTGGAGCTTGGAAATCAAATCAACAGAACACAGAGTTATCTCAACCTAAAAAGACCTCCACCAAGACACATTGTATTAAAGTTATCAAAAATCAACGACATAGACAGAATTCTCAGAGCAGCCAAAGAGAAGAAAACGGTAACTTATAAAGGACAACTCATTAGATCATCCTCAGATTTCACAGCGCAAACCTTACAAGCCAGAAAGGAATGAAATCAAATATTTAAACTATTAAGTGAAAATAACTACCAGCCTAGAATAATGTATCCAGCTAAGCTCTCCTTTAGATATGAAGGAGAAATTAAGACTTGTCCAGACATACAAAAATTGAAGGAATTCTCCACTACAAGGCCTGTACTATAGGAAATACTGAAAGGGATCAGTTCGCCTAAAACAAAATGACAAAAAATATATATATAATTAGGAGTAAAGTGACTATTGGACAAATACAAGCAGAGGAGTACAACCTTTAAAAAACATTATAAGCTTAAACAATAAGGAGAGATTTGCTATAGCAATATAGTAATGAACATTCAGCATACATAGGGACAAATTGAGACAACAATGTCAGAAAAAGGGAAGATTCAAAGATCCAAAAGCACAACGGGGAATGGAGATAAGGCATGCTCAGTAGAAAATGGATGACTGCATATATATATAAATATCCTTCACATATTTGTAATGTTAACCACATGACAAAGATTCAGAACCATTGTATATAACATTAAACAAGAAGGACCAGAGGGAAAACCCACAAAAGCCAATGAAAATAAAGAAAACAGAAGCACACGGACAAAGAAGAGATGGGAACACTGAGCTACCAGAAAGCAAAAGAGAAAATGGCTATAAGACTTCATATTTCAATAATCACCATAAATGTAATTGGACTGAACTCACCAATAAAAAGGCATACAGTTGCAGAATGGGTCAAAAAAAACAAAAAACAAAAAAACAAAAAACCCAACCATATGCTGCCTCTAGGAGACACATCCCAGCTCCAAAGACAAATATAGACTTAAAGTGAAAGGGTGGAAAATGATATTTCAACTAAATGGCATTCAGAGAAAAGCGAGAGTAGACTTCAAAATAAAAAAGGTAAAGAAAAATACTGAAGGGTACTTCAAAATGATAAAGGGAATCATGCACCAAGAAGACATAACACTTATTAATATCTATGCTCCCAATCGGGGAGCCCCAAAATATGTAAAGCAATTACTAACAGAACTAAAGGGAGAAACAAACCAAAACACTATCAACGTAGGGGACCTAAATTCTTCACTGTCGGATATGGACAGATTATCTGAACAGAAAATCGATAAGGAAATAATATTTTTAAATGACACATTAGATCATCTGGACATAATTGACATTTATAAAACCTTCCATCTCAAAACAGCTGCTTATACATTCTTCTAGTGCACATGGAACATTCCCAATATTCAACCACATACTGAGAAATAGAGATAGCCTCAACAAATAGAAGAGGGTTAAAATCATACCAATCATATTCTCTGATCGTAATGCTTTGAAACTGGAGATCAACTGCAGATAGAAATCAGGAAGAACCACAAATACATGGAGATGAAACAGCATGCTACTGAAGAATAACTGGGTCAGGTAAGAGATAAAAAGAGAGATCAAGAGATAATAGAAACAAATGATGATGATAGTAAAACATAAAAACTTTTGGGACACGGCAAAAGCGGTCATAAGAGGAAAGTTCATAGCATTACAAGCCTACCTCCAAGAACGAGCCCAAATGAACAGCCTAATGCTTCATCTTAAAAAACTAGAAAAGAAAGAAGAGATGAAGCCTAAAATCAGCAGAACGAAACTAATCATCAATATTAAAGCAGAAATAAATATTGAAAATAATAAAAAAAAAATAGATAAAATAAATGCAACAAAGAACTTGTTCTTCGAGAAGGTTAATTAAATTTACAAACCTCTGGCTAGACTCACTAAAGAAAAAAGAGAAAGGACACAAATAAACAAAATCAGGGATGAAAGAGGGGAAATTATGACAGACACTGCAGAAATACAAAGGATCATACAAGAATACCATGAAAAAGTATATAAAACCAAATTTAATAACCTAGAAAAAATGGACCAGTACTTACAAAAATACAACCTTCTTACACTGAATCAAGAAGAACTGGAAAATCTAACAAGACTGATCAGCAGTATGGAAATTGAAACGATCATCAAAAACCTACCAAAAAAGTAAAAGTCCAGGACCAGATGGCTTTACCAGTGAATTCTACCAAACATCCAAAGAAAATTTTATACCTATTCTCCTTAAACTCTTTCAAAAAATCAAAGAGGAGGCAATACTTCCCAACTCATTTTATGAGGCCAGTATTACTCTGATACCAAAACTTGGTAAAGAAAACACACAGAAAGAAAACTACAGACCAATATCTCTCATGAACACAGATTCAAAAATCCTAAATAAGATACTATTGAACAGAATACAGCAACATATTAAAAAGATTATACACTACGATCAAGTGGGCTTCATCCCAGAGGCACAGGGATGGTTCAACATACACATATCGATTAATGTGATGCAGCAAATAAACAAATTAAAAAATAAGAATTATGTGATCATATCAATAGATGCAGAAAAAAAGCTTTTAACAGGATACAGCATCAACTTATGATCAAAACACTTACCAAAATCAGTATAGAAAGAACGTAACTTAACATAATAAAGGCCATCTATGACAAACCCTCAGCCAACATTATACTTAATGGTGAAAAACTAAAAACCTTCCCTCTAAGATCAGGAACAAGGTGAAGGTGTTCAGTATCACCACTGTTATTCAATATAACATTGAATGTCCTAGCAAGTTCAGTCAGACAAGAGAAAGATGTAAAAGGCATCTAAATAGGAAACCAAGAAGTCAAATTGTCACTATATGCGGATAACAAGTAGAGGGATTGCTGGATCATATGGTAGATCAATTCTTAGTTTTTTGAGGAACCTCCCTACTGTTTTCCAGAGTGGCTTACCAACTTGCAGTCCCACCAGCAGTGTATGAGGGTTCTTTTTTGCCGCATCCTCTCCAGCATTTTCAGGTCCCACCCCAGAACTGCTGAGTCAGAAACTCTGGAATGAGGTCAAAATCTGTGTTTAACAGACATTTCAGGAGATCTGATGTCTAGGGGATCAATATTACTTTTACAAAGTAATGGTGGCAACAAGGACAATGAGGACAGAAATTATTTGATCAAAATAATCCTGGCAAAATCATTTATGGAACAAAAATTTCTTATTAGGTAACTTTAAAAATAAGCCTTATTATCATTGCCTTTCATTGACTGACATAAACTACACTATGAAAATATGAAAGCATTTTAATAAGTTCTTCATTATCAAGCTTTCATTAGTTTGTTGTCATCTAATACACTAAAGCAGAGATTCCCAACTTTTTTGGCACCAGGGACCAGTGCTCCTATGAGAATCTAATGATCTGAGGTGGAGCTGAGGTGCTGATGCTAGTGCTGGGGAGCAGTGCAAATAAAGATGAAGCTTGCTCATTCCCCCACCACTCACCTCCTGCTGTGTGGCCGGTACTGGTCCATGGTCCAGGAATTAGGGACCTCTGTTAAGTAAAGGACATCATTTGAATTTGGCAGTTATGTTTTTATCAGCTGCATTCATTTAATTATTTAATGAAAAATAATTGTTTAGTTTACAAGTTTTTAGGCATAATAGTGTTTATATATTTTCCACCATGTATTAAATTAAACTTGCAAATTTTCAAAAGGTAGCTGCATAAAATAGATGATTTTTTTGAGTTCTGAATATAAAGGGTTTACTGTAAATATTTTAGCTAATCTGAATGAAATATAGGTCCAAATGTAATGACACAACTTTTTGTGTCATTAAATAAAGTAAACAACAACATCATATCTTTGGCCTGAAAGATTTTATTGGCTTTTTCTTGCACCTTCTTTATTACAGAAATGAATTTTTAAGAGATAATTATGTCTTTTCTTTTTACTTGTGAAATATGAAAAATAAAGGCATTTTTCTGGGCAATATGAATTCCTTTGTTTATCTCTTATTCTGTCTTTAGTTAAGTTGACTGATGTTCTTTTTTATATTAATGATAAAATAGAACTTTTTCATATAAACTGAATGCCAGTGACCTTGATAATTGAAAAGATCAGACACTATTAGAAGCTGAGAGAAAATGGCAGAATCGTAGGGATAATATGCTGCAGCAGAATGATCTTCACCGTACTCCTAAGGCACAACACAAAACAGGTGTGCCCTTTTGTGCTGTCACAGAGCCAAAATGTTCAGAAAATTACATGCCAGTTCACTGGATACACTTTAATATGAATTCAAAGTGATATTTAGTAAATCTAGTGTGGGTATGTGTGTTTTATGACTAGACAAAAGCACATTAAAGTGACTGTTTATTTGACAATTGTTAAAAGCCAAAACCACGGGTTCAAAAACAATTAAGCCATTTGCATTGAGTAACACTGATATTTTACCTCTAACCAGTGTGTGAGACCTATTATAACCTTCTGAAAAAACAGTAATATTGAGTGATTATAAAACATACAGAGAGATTTCATTCAGGGGAGATTGACTTCAACTTCCCCCCACCCCGCCGCCCGCAATTTTTCTTTTTTCATAGATAAGAATAGGCCAATACAAAGATGGGAGCAATTGGAATTAGCAAACAGAAGAATTTCTAGATGATACATTTTGGGGAAAATGTCAGAAAAAAGCAAAGAGTGGAGTTTAAGTATATTAATTTCCAGTGTCAAGAGAAAATCAGCAGTAGTGTTTTTCCCCGTCTGTTAAACCAGGGATATACTATGTATGTATGTTTGTTGACTTACACATTTCGGTGTGCTAATAAAAATATGTTGTACTTAGATTATTTTTTAATGTCTTCCACTGTAGAATCTGAGATGGTTAATTTTGATGGAAAAAGTTCCTTGCTGTACACATTTAATCAGAACTCCATGAGTCCAACAAAAGATGTTATTTCTTTGAAATTTAAAACCAGGCGGAATGATGGGATTCTACTTCACAGAGAAGGACAAAATGGCAAACACATCACCCTGGAGTTAGTTAAAGGAAAACTCATCTTATTCCTTAATTCAGGTAAAAACTACAAGGTGGAGTTTTTGAAAATATGATTATTTAGATAGAAGTTTCTTTTTCACTTAATTTTTTTCACAGTTAGGTAGTCAATTTATCCTGAAATCAGAACACTTTTGAGTAAGAAAGGAGGCCTTATAAATAATTACTCTGAAGCAATAGATGTAATCCGGAACTGTCTAGGCCAACAGAAATATGGTCACTCTACAGTTGAGGTGTACTGAGGGCAATGTGCGTATGCCTTAAACATGCTTTTATGAAAAAAGTTTTGTAGCTTGATAATTGTATATGGCCATTAGTAGATGCTCAATAAATAATCTGATAATATCCTAAAGACAAGAGTTGACTATTGTAAATTTTTGAATAAGTACCATTAATGAGATCCTGGGAAGAAAATATTTTCAAGAAATATGAAAATCCATTGAGTAATAAGAAGAAAAACAAATAAGATAAGAGAAATTACTCAAGATCGAAAGATTGTTTTAGATTAAGATAAAACCAGCTGACAAGTTCCTGGATTAAAAGTATGTGAGGAAGGTATAATTTTGAGAAATGCCACCTCAAAATAGAAATCATGGTATTAAACTGGGTGGAATGGTTCATTTACTTTTTTTCTCTCTTTAGGCAATGCTAACCTCCCCTTTCCTGACACCAGCGTGACCCTCACTCTGGGTAGCTTGCTGGATGATCAGCATTGGCATTCTGTCCTCATAGAAATCCTCAGCACATATGTCAACTTCACTGTTGACAGGCACACTCATCACTTCCAGGCAAAAGGAGAGTTCAACTACTTGGATCTTGATTATGAGGTGTGAACATTACTTTTTAAGTATCACAGGTTTTATCATTTAAATGCAATATAATCTTATCAAGAAAATACTACTGCATAAAGAAAGACTCTTCTAGAATTCAGAAATCTGGTGCAATATTTCCTGTAGGTAATATTCGAACAGTAGGAGATACATGAACATGCTATTGAGATGTTTTATCCCTTATAGATGTTAGTCTTTATGTGAGAGTAAATAGTCATTAAATTTAGGAAATCTATACATAAAGAGCTATCAACACAATAAGCAACATTTTAAAATACGTTTGTTTGGACACTTCTGTGTTACATCTGATATTTGGCTGTGAACAATTACTTTAGTGATTTCTTTGTGTTTTAGAGCAATCTTAAACAGAATTAATGACCTAGGACAACTTGGAGAAGTAATCAGCATATGTCCTAATCTGATTTTTAAGTAACAAGAGTGCCAAATACACATAACTCAAAAAATTTCTTGGGTTTTTTGAAGGCCTAACAATATTTGCACTATTTTGCCTACATATACTTAATCTACACTGAACTGTGGCATTTTTTTTTTTTTCTGCTAGTTCTGTTCAGCACATCTATGAGAGCAAACCAGATGATTTTAGCCTTCCCTTTGGTATAAGTTCTCTCAGCAGAGGAGACTAGCTGGCGATCCTGGTCTTGAATGATATTATCAATTGCTTTATTATTGTAATCTATTGGAATCATGGCAAAGATCAGGATCCTAAAGTACGATATTAGAAAGGTTTTTAAAGTAGGATGTCATCACAGTTGACCGCATTGTCTCAAAGATCAAGATTTACCATGGAAGTTAACAAAAATGACAGAGCCATACGAGTAGCAAGTTGTAAAAAGGGAATTTAACTTATTTATCTGACTATAATATATAATACATTAATAAATCTGCATCTAAAACTTCCTTTGAAATGAATATAATGTAAAATAATGCCAAATAGATTTGAGACAATCATACTTTACCTGCTAATCAGAAATATTTTAGCCAGATAATCAGAAAATCATCAAACAATATTATTTATGTCATTTTTTTCTTTCTAAGATCAGCTTTGGAGGGATTTCTGGACATGGAAAATCAATGGCCTTCTTACATAAAAACTTTTATGGCTGTTTTGAAAATCTCTGTTATAATGGGGTGGATATCATTGACTTGTCCAAGAAACACAAACCACAGATCTTCATCATGGTAAGAAAGTCTAAATGAGAATTCAAGAGAAAAAGCAGCAACAATTTGTTTTGTTGATTCAGTTTTAAAATATGCCTCTTCTGAAAGCAGGAAGGTATACATCACATGTACTTTTAGTTTATTTGATTTAATCTTTAAATATCTATATAAACATACATAATTTTACAAAAATAGTAAAGTACAATCACATAAAAGCTTTTTAAGAAAGTGTCTTTCTTTCTGATTGGTTTACTCTTCCAATTCTCTCCTCTGCCACCAAGCCCTCATGTTACTAAGTTAGTGTTTTGCTTCCACGTTTGGTCCATAATACTGAATTCTTTAGATTGGTAACCTCAAACTCACATTTATGAATCTGTATGCCTCCACATTTGGCATTGTTTATAAGAATGGATTGGATTATTTTATATAAACTTTTCTCCATGTTGATTTTCTGACTCAGCAATACCTTGTGGAAAGTCTTTCTAGTTCTGAATTATAATTCTACAGTTAGAATGTCTGTGTCACGTTCCACTATGAAATTCTACCATTATTTCTTTAGTTATTCCCTACTCAAAGCATTTGCTTTGTCTCTACTTTTTACTGCTACAAGCGACAATTGCACCTGTGTTTTCAAATACTGGGGCTTTTATTTTGATAGGATAAAGTTCCAGGAGTAAAATTTCTTGGTTGAAAGTTTTATACAATTTTAAATTTTAATAAATGTTGTTGAATTGCTTCCTCAAAAGCTGTTAACACAACACTTTTCACGGGCAATGTATGACAGAGCCCTTTCATCACATGTCAGCCAGCCATACGTGTTTTACATTTCTTAGACTCTTACCAGCTCAGTGGATATTTCATTGTTATTTCATGCTATGTGACTCCTGGTGAATTAAATAATCTTTTTGCATGTTTGTTGCACATTTGGATTTACTTTTCTGATCATTGTTTATTCTTATTCTTTTGTCTATTTTTTAAAAACTTTTTGTCAATTTATGAGAGGCTTATATTTGATAGATAACTCTTCATCATTTGTGGTCCAAGTATTCTTTCAGATTTATCAGTTTTATATTAAATATTGTATGATATGTTGAGTGTATAAATGTTTTTATTTGTATGTGGTCAGTATGTCTATGAATTTCTCTATAGCTTTGTAGTATTCAGTTTGCTTTGGAATGTCTCTAAAATCCTAAAATCTATATATGTTCTCATGGATTTCTTGTAAGAATTTTAAAATTGGTTTTATCACTTATTTGTTCATAGGTTTAAAAAATGTCTTTTATTATCTGGAATTTATTATTTACTAAATGTATGATAAGCATCAATTTTTTAATATTCTGCCTTATGGATATTTATTTGTTGCCACACTATTTAGTAACTGACCCAAATTTTTCCCCCCACAGTTGAATTATAACTGTCATTACATACTAATTGTACATATATACTCAGATCTTTTTGTGGGTTAATTATTCTTGTGCACTGGTATATCTATTCCTATATGAATAGCACACTGACTTGATTATATTGACTTTATGGTATGTGTTGGTATCTGGTAAGTTAAGTTCAGTCTCACTGGTTTTCTTTGCATAATATATTTTGGAAAGGGAGGGAAAAGATTGGGCATATGTTTTTTTATATAAAATTTATGAAAAATTTTTAATCCCAGAGAAATATTCTTGTAGAGAATTTAATTTGGATTTTGTTAAATTCTTTTTATCCAAACACTATGATTAAAAATAAGTTTTCTCCTGGAGCAATAGAGAGAATCTAGAGATAAAAAAAATTATTTTCAAACAGAATTGTATAAAAATGAAAACCGTGTGTACTAAGAAGGTCAAACCTTAGGCTAAGTGACTGACCTGGGAAATGCATCCTGTAAAAGCTTTGCGGAGACAGCCAGCCTACCTTTGGGACCTCTAGTCTGGCCACATCCTTTTCTTTAGACATGCAAACATATACCTCCCACCTATATAGTAAGTTGTATTTGTCACCTGAGTGACAGACTTATAAGCACATATACATAACCAAGGTGAGCACTGGAAAGTTCTTGGAGTCAGTGATCCTTAGTGCTAGACTTCACAATGAATAAAAACATATAACAGTTTGAGGGAAGAAAACTCATCTGTTTCATCTGTTGTTGTGCCCCATGGCACTAAGCCTGGGAAAGATATGGCTGAAGACTTACTTCAAATGCTGAAAAATGAAGATTAATACTTCTTATGAGACTTAGAAAAATAGGTTTACCTAGCTAGTGTTTTGGTTTGAGGGACCTATACAGTAATCTGGATTTAAGTTTGATGAGGAAGGAAATTTTTAAAGAGGTTGATAGAAAAATTCCGTAAGACCTATAAAATCTGTTGTTAATGAAATGAAACTGTCACTCCTGCACCTTCCTAAAGCCTCTTTCATTGTATTCACAGGGAAATGTGTCCTTCTCGTGTTCATACCCTCAAACTGTCCCTGTAACTTTTCTGAGCTCCAGGAGTTACTTGGCTCTGCCAGTCTCCTCTGGAGAGGAAAAAGTATCTGCCACTTTCCAATTTCGAACATGGAACAGAGCAGGGCTGTTGCTGACCAGTCAGTTTCAACATGGGTCAGGGGCTATCATCCTTGTTCTTAATGATGGAAAGCTCAAGTTGAGTCTCTTCCAGCCTGCACATCCAGCAAAGGACGTCACAGCAGGTAATAAATGTACTTCCTAAGATAATCCTAAAATGGCACATGACCGTGCCATCATTACACATGAACTTCTAAAATAAAAAATGTCTGAATCTATAAGGTATTCATAATCGTACTAGAAGGAATTAGATTTCTTTTTCCTTTGAAACAGGGAACTCCAAATTGTTGATGTGTGGGTCAGTGTGACAGAAATTTAGCTACATCCAAGCTTAACTATCAAAAAGTTAAAAAAATAATCTATTTGTAAGTTGATGGTTAGTAACTGGAAGTAAACTTGAAATACTAGAAGACATTAGCCTAATACTGAGTGCCTTGAGAAAATTAATTAATTCGTTTGTTTATTTGTTTGTTTGTTTAAATAATTTAATTGTTTTCAATTATAATTGGCATACAATACTATGTTAGTTTCAGGTGTAAAACATAATGATTAGACATTTATGTAACTTACAAAGTGATCACCCCAATAAATCTAGTACCCATCTAATACCATACATAGTTATTATAATACTATTGACTATATTCTTTCTGCTCTACTTTACATCCTCATGACTGTTCTGTGACTACTAATTGTGCTTTTTAATCACTTACCCTTTTTCACTTACTCCCTCTAATTCCTCTCCCATCTGACAACCATCAAAATAGTCTCTGTATCTATGAGTTTATTTCTGTTTTGTTTATTTTATTCTTTAGGGTCCACATGTAACTCAGCACTACACCCTCTAGGTCCATCCCTGTTGTTACAGATAGCATTCTTTTTTATGGCTGAGTAATATTCCATTGTATATATAAAATATATATCTCTTCTTCTTTTCTATTCATCCATTGATGGGCACTCAGGTTGCGTCTATATCTTGGCTATTGTAAGTAATGCTGCGATGAACATATGGATGCACATGTCCCTTTGAAGAAATGTTTTGGATTTCTTTGGATAAATACCCAAAAGTGGGATTACTGGGTCCTCCTTTGTCTTTTGTTATAGCCTTTGTTCTAAAGTCTATTTTGTCTGGTTAAGTATTGCTATCTCAGCTTTTCCTTTTTTGTTGTTGTTGTTTCTAGAAATTAGATTTCTTTTAACTGTCTTTTAAACCTATATACATACTGGTTTTTCAAAATATTTTAAGTTATAATTTTTTCCTCTTCTCTCAGAGCTATCATTTCCTTTAGGGCTATTTGTTTTGGTAAGGCTTCTTATGACTATGAGTGGAATTTCTGCTCCAGTCTTCCAACAAAGACCCATTTATTCCTAGATTAACTTCTAGAATCATGTTATCTATGAACTTTGGAGACTATTTCGCATTTGAAACTGCTAAAAATTTAAACTCAGGCTCATGGCGTGTCATTCTATGAATACTGAATGTGAAAAGAATATCTTGCTTGACCTATGGTTATCAGTTTTGAACTGAAAAACTGAAAATGAAACTTAAATTCCCCTTTCTTTTTGTAAATCAAACAATCTGACTATCAGTGTTCTGAGTTTCCTTGTGTACTTCAGCAAATGAACTGAACTGATAGTGTCAGCTCAGATTCAGTAAATTGCCTAAATCTTGGTTTGTGTAGATTTACAGTTCACATGTGATATGAACTAAAAGAATATCTTTGTATTGTTGTTACACATAGGTACATACCACCTCTCTTCCCAGCTCACGCACATATTAACTATTTAATTTTTTTGTAAGCTAGCACTGAGACATTACACAAATGTTATATTACGCCAGTTTTTAAGCTTTTACAGTGCAATGTTATTTTTTGGAAGCAAACCAACAGTAAGTTTCTCTTGATACTTGTTGCTTGCTTTAGTAGCATTTGAGGAAGGACTTTTTATACATTTAAAATAGATGAAAAATAAGACAGATGGGATTTTTTTTCATTGTAAACCTTGTATTAAGTATCAAAACCATGTACCAAATTGTAAAGGATAAATTAAATCTCATTAAATGGCATTAAATGGCATTGAAAAGACTATACTCAAAAAGTATAATCTAGATTATGCATGTTAATGGAGCTGGGAATAAAACTCAAGCCGAGGGGGTTGTGGAAATAGAGAAGTGAGAGCAACAAAAAAGAAGGAAAAATGAGTTTGTGTCGCACCCTTGGAGTTCCCTTTATATAAGAAAAGATACAATTCTACCCATTTCCAAACAGTCTCTACTGCTATAGTTGTGGTTAATAGAATAAATTATTTGACTTAAGCAGGTGGGCAGGTGAGTGAGAGGACTCAGCCCCCAGGCCCATTCTGGATTGTCTCTGTAATGTGCCAGTTGATGGCAGATTGTTTTCCCAAAGTCTCGGGATCCTCATCTTTAAAATGACACTAGTATGAGTTATGGTGAGAATTCAGTGATATGATACATATAAATACTTAGCACAGTATGGATGTTCAGTAATAATAACTTTTAGCTATTATTATTTCAAAGCCAGTCCTGCAACCATCACCCTGTCCCAGATTGAGGCCTTTCAAAAGGCTGGATGGGTGTGGTACAAGGACTATCTTCCTGGTAGCACAAATCAAATACAAATCTACTCTCTGTTCTCCATCATTCTTTGACAGTAGTGTTGCCTGGGAAACAGGGCATCCTTTCATCAAAAGCAGAAAGAGTTGAAAGAATACTAAAGAAAAACGAAGGCTAAGAATTATAAAAGATAGATATTAAAAATTGGATATAAATGCAGGAATTTTATTTTTAAATTAGAAAAACAAATTTTACTTAAAACAGTTTTTTATTATATAGGCAAATGACATCTCTTACAGATTCAAGGAGGTATTCTGAAGTGCTTTCTGCAAGTTCTCCCATGAAATATAACTATATACTAGATAAGTAGGTAGGTAGATATAGAGAAAGAGAGAGAGAGGTGAGTCTGTAAGAGATGCTAGAGTCAGGCACATTTGGTAGCTAGTCAACAATTCAACCATGTGACCATTCCTAGCTCCGTCACTTTAAAAACAAAGTTGTTGTTTTTTTTTTAACCTTGGGATTCAAGAGATAGTGACTGCTTTAGGAGGGATTAATACTGGTTTTTAAAAATAATATAGCAATAGCTGGAGCACACTGTATCAAATTTGGAAAATACAGAAAATGTAAAAATGACATAAAATGAAAACAAACACAGTTTCCTCATACAAAAATTAAGGTTAATATTTAAGAACATTTCCCATCAATCTCATTCCATTTTTATACAATGCTTGAGTAGGTAAAAACACACACACATACACTTAACGTAACATTTTTTTAACTTTACATTTTGTTCAATGAATTTTCATTTTTTGATACTTAATATCGTTAGTTTTAAAGACTGATAATATGTTTTTTTCTAAATAGTCTACTAAGATTGTTATAGACAATGACAATTCCCAAAAGTAAAGTTTTTATTTTTATAACACAATTTTGGAAAATATCTGTACTTCTCGACATCTCAAAATATTAATTTCTTGAGACAGATATTCAATGTAACTAGAAATATTTTATTATTTTAGGACTGTTCAGTGTCCATCATGGAAATTCTATTCTCTTGAGGCCCTAGTACTGGAAGAAAATAATATTGTACTTTTCTGAGGCAGAATGTTCAAACTATCCACTCTTCTTTCCTCTTCACCCCTTTTATTCTGATTTCTTTCTTTGCTCTTCTCTTCCTTTCTTTTCTATCTGAACTTTTCTGACTTAATTGAGTAATGAGAAAGTAAAATATAGCCCTGGGGCTAGGCTATAATATTCTCAACTGAACCTAATAACTTTTGTTAAAATATAATAAGAACCAGAATGACCTGTCCATAACTAGTGGGTCAGACATAAGGACTCTGAGCAACCACAAAATTTACACAAGCCCCTCTTCTGAGTGACATAGGCAGCACCTTCCTCCTAGGTAAAAATGATCAGCATAACACATCACTGAATTGCCTCCTTAGAACCCCTCAGCCACATCTGTCCTAAGCCTCTCCCTATCTTTCTAAGGCCACAGCTGTCCTCAGCATCTGTGCGTGCTCCAGTGCCCCAGCCAGCTAGATGATCTAGGTGGACTTCAGGTCAGTTCACCTTTGGCAGGTGGTCAAATGATCTACACCATACTTTTTTCAAGCATTTGCCTTGTTTAGAAGCATCTATAGGCTCTATATAAATCTCTTCGAACCCATTTTGTTTACCTCCAGGTGCTGAATTGAATGATGGGCAGTGGCACTCTGTGTCCTTATTTGATAAAGGGAATCATCTGAGTGTGATGGTGGATGGTGCAGCAGCATCCGTGGCTCACACTCTGAGTAGGCAGATTGATTTGGGCGACACCTATTATTTGGGGGGTAAGTGAATGAAACAGATTTTATTGGTAACCAAACCACATTTATCATTCCAGCTCCTGCCTTCTAAAACAACTGGAAGCTTTAAAAGAAAATTAAACTTGAAGAATGATTTTTCTCTTTTGGTTATAATCAATGGAAATGTTGAGTGGATAAATATGATAAATTAGGACCTAAAGTATAAATCTACTAGGTAACCTTGTTGAAATATGCATATAATATAAGACTGGTTTTAAATCTAGGATTTGTTTTCAATTAGGCTGCATACCACAGTCACTTGGAAACCTTCAAAAATACCGGTGCCTGACTCTGTCCCCAGAGATCTTGATTTAATTGGTCCTGAGGCCCGGGCACAGGTTTCTTAATGCTCTACAGGTGATTCTGTGTGTAGGCAAGGTTGAGGATCATTGTTCTCTATTTCTTATCTTTAGTACTTTGCTATAGGGAATTGTCCTCATGACAAATGGCTTTTATAACTTTCACCAGCGTGTACCTGTCAATTTGATTGCTGCGTGTTGGTGTTCTTCTATCTGTTGACTCCTTTTCTGCCTGGAGCCTGGCTACTCAAAGTGTGGCCCATGAGCCAGCAGCATTAGCATCAGCTGGAAGCTTGTTAGAAAAGCAGACACAGCCTCCCTGACCTCCTGAATGAGAATCTGCATTTCACCAAGATCCCCATGTCTTGTGTTACACTTTACAGTTTAAGAAACATTCTATTCCTACTGTCTGTACAGAAGGGCATCATTATTTACAACAAAGGGAGAGATTGATTTGATGGCTATTGCTTTGTGATGCATTTTATCAAGGCCGTAGCAGGCTACCTCCCCTGGATTGTTTACCCTTTTACATGGAGTGTTTACCTGCCCAGTGGACCTGAGTTCTGGTCTGTTCAGGATCTACTCAGCCAGGGAGGAGAGCTCCTAGGGGTAATAAGTCTCCATCCCTGGGGCATTCAAGTGAGAAATTCTGTGCCAGTGGAAGCTTAGAGCTATAATTGTCAGGTTATTTCTGATCTTGGCTCAAGTCCTCTTTGATATTATTCCTGTTTTGATTTTTACAGCTGCTTCTTTCAAACATAAGTTTGGAATCATGGTAGAGATAGCTCAATAGCCCAACAAGAAAGTGTAACATCCTCCCTAAGAATTGACAATTAGCACACAAACCTTGAATTGGGGCGTTCAATCTTTCAAGTCCCCTAAAGCAGACATCACTGTGAAAATTGGAGCCCAGCCAGCAGCATTAAGATCAAATTGTTTGCTACCTTTGCTCCCTAACTGTGGTACATTTCTGACCCAGGTAGTATTTTAAACCTTTACATTTGCGATGGATTTTATAGTTCTGCAGAGGAACAAATTTCTTCAAAGCTAAAAAAAGTATTTATCCAAGAGCTATAATTTGAAAGATAAAAGATTTTGAAGCACTAAAAGGGATAGGAAGAAAAATCCTTGCTATATTATTTAATGATACAAAATAAGCTACTTTTTAATTTGCACTAAACAATAAAAAATACTATTCAAGTCACAGAATCATCTTTTATATTGGAATATTCTACATGTTTAGAATATGCATTGCACAGCCACATGAGAGAAAGTATTTTCTATAAATATTTACATGCTGGCATGGTATGAATCAGTTGTTACTATGAAATAGATCATATGCAAATATTTTTTTAAAATCCTACTAATGTTTCTTAAAAGAATATATATGGGCTCATCCTTTGTCTACAAAATTAACCATGATAATATCCATGAAGTTTCCCTTTTTCCCCTAGAATCTGTTATCACTCAACTTTATTTTCTTTTTACTAATATTTATTTTGTTTTATATTCGGGGGGTAAGTGAATGAAACAGATTTTATTGGTAACCATAAAATCTGTTTCATTCACTTACCCCCCAAATATCCTACATATATCCAAATCTATATATGTAGGTAACTTTAAAAATATATGTTGTGTTTCCTTGCTTTTAACTTTATAAAGTGGATAATACTGATGCAATTTTTCGTGAATCATTTTTTTTATGGTTCTACAGTAGTTTTTGAGATCTAGCCATGTGAATAAGAATAGCTAAAGTTAATCTTCAAAGTATGGTTTTTGATGCACATTATACCATGTTTTATTTATCTATTCTACCATCCTATCTTACTGTTGATATCATTTTGATTGTTCCCAGTTCTTTACTGCTATTATAAAAAATGTTATAAATATTGTTGTACAGCTGCTAAGAATCATCTTGCCAGTAATTTTTAAACTTTCTTTATGCATAAGCTATCTGATTTTCCTAATATGTTTGGTCAATTTAATGAAACAATCATGTACTATAGTTTTAGTGACATGTTGTGATTGTTAGGTTGAATGAATGCCCAAGAGCACACAGAAGTCATGTTGGCTGTACACATAGATCCTGCCGTGGGCTCCATTAGCATCTGTGAAGGAATCCTGGAGATCTGGAGGCAATTCATTGAAGAAGGCCTAATCGACATTTTTGATGTATTTTCATAAAATTGTGTTGATATGCAGGAAAACTGTCTTGTTAATGTAATTTCCAATAAGAAGCAGTGTTCCTAAAGTTTAAGCATCATCTGAGAGAACACAATGACTTTTCTTTATTACAGCTTTCCTATTTTTCTATTGTAATTGTGTATCGGCACTGTCAAAAACAGTGTGAGAACTTGTAATCACAGCACTTCATTCTTAGGGTATAAACTTAGAGTGACCTCTATATGCGTAGCTATAGAGGTTTCAGCTATTGATTCAAACTAATGGTTTCAGCTACTGATTCAAACTAATTCAGTCAACTGTATGTCTTATGTCAACATAACAGTGACTTTTTTCCTGGAAAACAATGTATATTATTTTTAAAACTCAAATTATGCCTTCACCAAAATAAAACAAACAAAACCAAAACAGTTTGATTTACTGATGTTAAATAAAAATGTGGATATTATTTTTACTTAAGAAAAGTCAGGAGAGGCAGGTCTAGGATCAGTGGACATGGAGCGCTGGTCCTCAGTAGATTTATTATATTGACAAGTTTTATGCACAGGTCAAGACTCCCTTGCTCAAGGCCCCACTGCTTCCACAGTGCATTGGACTTTCCAGTTCTGTTCTGGATAAAGTGGGGCAGGGAAGTTGAAACTTGAGTGGAAACTCCATTCCCAAAACCTCAGTATTAGAGTTATTTTATCCAGTCCCAAGGGTAGCCTGTGTCTGTGTCTCCACTGGTTTAATTATCTTCTTAATTAATGTCTGTCAGTACCAGAATATGTATGATGGTGACAAGGCAATTCACTTTATCCAATCCATGCTCTGTAGCAATATCGAGATTAAAAAATTAATATTCCTGGGTCCTCTAGGTAAAAGTCAGTTAATGATATTTGATTCTTCAAAGAAATCAATACCCCACGTTCTGAGACACTCTTTTCTTTCATTGTTTTTCCTGATGGAGGTTCAACTCCAACTTCTCAATTACATTATTATACAGTCAATAAACTATTTTGCAATACTTTAGCATAAAAACAGACTAGTATGTCTTGATATTACAGTTAAAATGACTATATAATTTCTTGTCCAAATCAAGACTCTTAAGTAATAAAGTAGGTGATGCCAATAATTATGACAGAACAGCAGGCAAAACCAGGACTTTGGCCACATGGAAGTCTGTATTCTGGTTTGGCCTGGCAGTCTCAGAGCGTGGTTTTCTTACCATGAGAAGGGTCCACTGACAGAATAGCAGCATTTTTATATGTCCCACTAGAACTCTGTGATTTAGATATCTCTCTCTCTTTTTTTTTTTCTTCTCCTTTTCCCAGTCTGAACTTCTTTTTTTTTCATAAATTGTTTTCCCAAGAGCAGTTTCACTATAGCGTATTGTACTCAGAGTTTTGGTGCCTGCTATTAAGGATAGTGGAAAATTAAACTCTTAATAAATTCTCTTTTATGGAATCTTGTACTATTCAATAGCATACTTGACCTGAAGAATTGGAGAATATTAAATTATATTCAGAATCCCCCAAGTGTTCTTGCATAAAACATTAGCAAGCCAGTGAACCTGTGATCACTTTGTAATAAAGTCTAACCTGATGACCCATTTTGGTACAGTGACACAAAGCGACTGCTTCCCTGTCATCCTCAGAGGTACTTAAAGCACTGAGTCTTTCAGTAGTAATGAGTATGTTTCATTAACTTAGCAGTAAGCATGTACTGTCCCAAATCAGATCAAAGCCCCATTTGGCCATCAGAACTTTGGGGTCATCTTCTTAATGAATGAATGAGTATCTCCTTGCCTGAGCTTGTCCAGGGCCATGGTACCCTTTGCTTCTTGACCTCTCTCAGGTCAAGCACTCAGTGATTTTACCTTTCCTTATTTAAAGTTCCTGTTTCAGAAAGTTTTCCTTGTGACTACTGGATTTGGTTTAGTTTTGTTCCTAGCAGAAATAATAAGATATTGCATTGTATTTTGGATGAGTTTGAGGCTTGTGATCTGGAGAAAAGCAAGATAAGCAGAAAAGGAATAATAGCAATTCCACAAAACTATTTATTGACTTAATGTTCCTCATTCTTTATCCTACTGTTCTTAGCTACTAAGTGCTATAAGTAGAGGTTGTAAAGATATAGCAAGTTTCTCCCAATTTATCCATACATTCAGAAATTCTCTTCCAAATTGAAATGTGTGCATTTTCACATAAAGCAAGAAAATGGTGAAGGAGAGCTGTTGCATTAAATAGTTCTTTATAATGTAACATTAAATTTGAAACGTCAGACTCATAGAGTCAATTTATAAGGTTTCATTGGTCCCAACAATGGTTTTAAACTGATGCAGACCTTGACCTGTTTTGGATTTTATTTTTCAGAAATACAAAGCATTAAAGACTTGAGCACCAAAAAAAAAAAAAAAAAAAGGATAAAGAAGAACTATGTGCGTTTTATGAAAATTATTAGGTAGAAAGCTAGGATCCATTATGCAGGAATACAAAGAGGCTGGATCTTCTGTTCCTACTCTTTGAAAGTGCACCGCTGAATGGACAATAAAAGTTCAAAGAGAGATTAATGAAAAACACATAAGTACAATGGCCAAAACTTTACTTTATAAGATTATTCAATTTGATTTTATAAATCAGAACCTTATCAAAAAACCTCAAGCCCCAAGCTATACATATTAACATAAGAATTCCTTAATATTTAAATGATTGGAAAATACAAAGCAAAACGATGAGTAATTAAGACATTGTGTCTAACAAGTTAAAAAACAGTTCTGCAAAGGATATAAATGAAACAATTTTATAAGGCAAACAATAAATAAAATTGTTAAATTTCATATGATGCATAAAATTTAGTTCATGATTTTGGGGAATTAAAGCAATATTAATTACTTAAAATACTGTGCTTACTTCATGTTTGCATATGAAAATAAAGTATTCAATAAAATAAATGCTTTGTGATTTCATTCTGTGTTCCTGCTGGTTGAGTTCCCCAGGAAGCTGCCTCTGCATGGGGATTTGCATGTGGACAGTTTAGTGGGGTTGATTTTCGGCAGAAACTCCTGGAAGGTTGAGAGCAGATGGGATGAACACAGGGACAAGATGAGCTGCCATGCAGTTGCAGCAGAAGCCTCAGAAGAGCCTACAGGAGGCTCTGAATCAGGGCTACCCTTCAGGGAGATCCCAGTTGAGAAAATGGGTGTGGGTCACTGTATTGCATCACTTCATTACATCTTTAAACACTGGCATCTGTGGGGAGGAGGAGTCAGCTCCCTTCAGCCAGGGCAGTTTCTGGGAAGGTCCCCTGCTTCAGTCTTGAAAAGAGGTGCAGGTGTATGGATCCGAACAAGTGTCCACTCTTTCTCTCAATCATTGCCATTAATAAAGCATTTCCGATGACAGCATTTTCTTTTCTTAACTTAGCAATTCTCCCCATTTACATTGCTCATCTTGCAGTATTCAGATCTAGAGTGAATCTTTTAGAGGCTAATTTAGGAGTGGAGGGAGAGTACTCAAGACTTTGCTGACCTCACATGTGGGAAGGAGGTGTCTCTGGACCTGATCTTGCTTTGATTTTGATTTCAAAGCCATGCCCTTGCTCATAATTGTTATAAGAACATTACCTTCTTAGGAAGCCCATGGGGAGAAAATAAAACCACTATATAGGAATTGTGGCTTGTAACTTAAAGCAAACCAGTTAATGACTGAAGCAGAATTTGTAAAAGATAACTTTCATTATTGAAAATACTCAAAGCCCATTCCTTTTTTAATGGAATTTTCCATGATGCTATCTCCATTATTTGCAAAGTCATATCATTGTGAGATACTTGCTAATTTTTTTGTGTATTAATGTTGTAAGATATTTGAGCAAAGTGCCTAATTCAAAAAATATTAGAAAAGTATTAATTACTCTTAGATTTCTTAGATTATTTATTACCAAAAGTGTTTTTAAATATGCGCGTGCAAACACATATGCAGAGTAAATTTGTAACGTGTATTTCAGATGAATGACGGTTATTTGGGTCGATTTTCAATTAAAATTTTTTAAACACTTTAAATATAGCAAGTTCCATTATGCCTATAATTTTTTCTGACTCTACTATTACATGCCTTCTAGTTCATCTAGTTTAGCATCATGCTAAAAGAAGTGATTTCTTATGTGTGCTTTCGAAAAAGAAATTAAGCTTTGCTTAAATTTAATATGCAGCAACTCTGTTAGTAGTATTTTACATCTTATGTTTCTCTTATTTTTCCCAACTGTAGTTGCTGTTTTTATACTTTATTAATATCAACAACTTTTATTCTTGTCAGTTCTCTGCCACCCCATCCATGAATAGTAGTGACCCTAACAAAAGGTGTAGGAATTCTCACCTCAAGTGTCTGTCCAAAAACAAGGGGAGGCAACCATCTTGCAGAAGCACTGTGCAATATTTTTGTCATAATTGTTGATTTTCTCCTGTGTTTGTCTCCGTGTTTGTTCAGGCTGTCCCAGCAACAGCTCTGGCTCTGGATGTGGAAGTCCCGTGGGGGGTTTTCAGGGCTGCTTGAGGCTCATTTCCATTGGAGACAAGGTGGTGGATCCCATCTCAGTACAGCAGGGGACACTGGGGAGTTTTCATGACCTCCAGATAGACTCCTGTGGCCTCACAGACAGGTAAGGTGATCTCATATCATTTTAACATGGCTGTTTTTAATTTTTTGATAGTAGATTAAAAACAAACAGCTGGAAAAGTGCACTTTCTTCTTGCTCCTTCTCTGTTCCTGATATCTATTCCACAGGGAAAAATTAAATTTACACTGAAAACCAAAAACCAATATTTTTAATTTTAAACAATTGCTCCTTTCAAATGATATTTTCTTAGGAGACAAATTTTTATGAGTATGCCTCCAAGCTATTAATTCTTATGGAATATTGTTATTGCTACTATCATTATTGATGAGTATAAATACTGATGAGTATTTTAAAGTGCTTTTTAAAATTCTACTATTGCACAAAACAGATTATTCTAAAGAGAAATAGAACACTGAGAACCAGTAAATCAAAATCATGTATGGTCAGCTGGATTCACCTCACATTACCTTTTCTACAGTGAAAATTAAAAATAACTCTTTCTTTGGGAAAGGTAGAAGCTTCAGGGATTTCTAGTGATGCTATATAACACAATAAAGAATGGAGAGCACCCAGTCACCACAGTACTGAGCATAGTGCTAGTTCATTGAAGAAAATAAGGAAAGCAAAGATGTAAAACAATAACATTTTAACTTGCAAAGTATTGTAACTTTACTCAGGTTATCTCATTGGTCATGCTAATTTTTAAGTTATTTTGGTTAAAAGTGATGGCTTAGCCATAACACATTAGCGTATTTTTCTGTGAGTGTTATGTCTGACTTCCCTGCAGTAGGAATGCATTACTTTTATGTTGACTAAATGAACACACTCCATACACTCTCACACATCCATATATGGTGAACTCTTCAAAGTTTATACTTTGCAGAGTACTTTGTGGAGTAAATCTATTCCAAATATAACACTAATTGAAATTCCATGTCATATCCAATAAATTACAAGTCACAAATGCAATGTAGCAATGCATTAGAAAACCATAAATTCCCAGTACATGAAATATTGACTCATAAGAACTTGATTTCTTTAACACAGATGTTCATCTTTATATATTCACATTCTATTCATTTGTAGGGGAAAAAAAAAAAGATTCGAAGAATTTTGTCAAAAACTCTTAATTCTAAATTCAGATTATGAATTTTTTTTTTGCCACATCATTTGTAAATTATAACTGCAGCCAGCTCTGGAATCCTGAATCTTGGTATCGGGAGGAGGTTTAGAGATAGGGTACAGCTCCCCATCCATGGCCTTCATTAGGTTGGAAGGGTTAGGGATCACAGATCACTGACCAGTTTGTCAGTTTAGGTGGCCAGGTTGTCAGTTCAGTCATGAAGCTCATAGAAAGTTATTTTAGTGCCCAGAGAATTTTCTCACAAAAATTTTTCTTACATAAAGAATCCATGTCGCCCCTTTGTGCATAAAGTCTTTTAGCCAAAAAAAAAAAAAGAATGTATGTATAATTTACTTATGTGTGTGGATGTATACATGTATGTACATATCTCATCAAAATAGAAAAGTTTTCCTTATGACATCTAAAAGAGATTTTCAAAAATATGCATCATTCTATGGAGACAGCTAAGATATTATATTATCTTCTTTAATACTGAGGTTCATGGTAACTCTGTAAATGGGTATGAAAATAGTTATCATTATATCAGTATGACCTATATAGTCAATAATTATAATTTTTTATGATTTACCCCCAAAAACATGTCCATAGGCTCCACTTCTCTTAGTACTAAAAGTGTTCATTTTTTCTTAGCCCTTTAGGTCACACCTCCCAACCACATGTTCAATGCACCATGAAATAGATTTGCTTAAAAAACTTGACAAAGCAAACATCCACGCCTGGGCTCTCTTTGGATGATCTGCATTGTGCCTGGCTGTCCCCCAGTCCACTGTTCTGTCTGCCCAGAGCAAGTCCAAATGTACTCAGTTGAAGCCAAGATTTATTATTAAAATGCAGGTGGTTTTATAACTTATATCCATTGGGCACAAAAATTAGTAAATCATGATACATAGTAGCACTCTGGCCCAAAGGACACTGCAGATTATGAAAAGATGTTTGAACTCCAGTGGGAACAGAGGAAACCTTCCTGAGCCACATGAGGGCTCATCCACATGGCGCTGTCTTCCAGTGGCTCCTGATAACACTTTATAGGGGAGGCAGCCTGGGCCTTGAGACCAGGCTTTGGGGACAAGGTTGTGACAAGGAGGGATCCTACCAATTGCATTTTGGACATTAGGGTCTCATGTCATATAACTCTGTTTTTTCAGGTTCCTTTTTAGCTCACATAAATGCCACCTTGTACACCCTTTGGCATGGACTCTGCTGATGGGGCCACTTTTCCTACTTCAGTGGCCTTTGGTCCAGCATTAACATTCTAGATGCTGAATGTAACATTGTGTACTATACATCTTTTGTTAATAGAAAATTACATTAGAAGAAAATCGATTACTATGATCCTAAAGTTTTAATTGATTTTTCTAAAAAAACTTTATGTCCAAATATTTTTAGGTAAATTATGGTATTCTTTATTTTCATCATAGAGTAGTTATGTTTAATCTATTAAAAAGAACCTAATCTATTCAAGTGTGATTTTAGAGAGTTCTAATGTGTTAAAAAGGAAAACAAGAAGTGATTTGTTCAAACAAATATTAAAAGGGATGAGCCCTGCTTGGGTGGGTCAAGCTACCCTTCAGCCCCAGGGGTTTCTGCTGAACACAATTTGAAATACCACTGCTGCCAAAACTCTATGACTTTGCTATAGACTAGAGATTGACAGAGTATAGCCCACAGGCCACTGGCCTGCTGCCTGCTTTTGTACATTACACTTTATTGGTACATGACCATACCCGTCATTGTAGTAATGTCTGTGTTGAATAGTTGCAACAGAGATTGTTTGACTCTCAAGGCCTAAAATATATGTTATATATTTTATACCCTTTACAGAAAGAATTTTTCGATTTCTGCTATAGACTAGTAAATAGACTGAGGTGGAAGTTGCAAATGGGCTGTGGGACACGTAGGAGGGAGGGACGCCTGGTTTGTATCAGGACAGAAGGGACTATCAGGAAGAAAGGGCAAGAGGTGGGTAAGTCAGTTAAGTGAGAGAGGACCAGGACATCTAGTGGAAGGAACATCCTTATGCCCAGCCTGAAGTGGAGCCATGAACCTGACCCATTCAAGGATGGATGGTGTTGAAATTGAGAAGGAGCAGGGCGTGGCAAAAGATGGGACTACCTAGTTGAGCAGGGGCTACACTGTAGAGGCCTTGCAGCCAAGAAGAAATATGAATGTTGTTGTAAGTTCTCTGGGAGACCACTGAATGGCTTGAAGCTATGAAGTCACCTGTGCAAGACTCTGACCACAAATGGAAGATGATTTGGGTGTGGGCAGCTGAGAGAGAGAGCATGTATGATCAGAGGCCAGGGGGACAAGTAAGAGTCACCTTGCTTATGTGAGAAGTGATGATGGCTTGAACAAGGGAATAGGAAAACATGGATAAATTATAAGATATTTGGTGAACAGAATCATAAGTCGATACATTGTATAGCTGAAGGTTGATGGAGAGGGAGGAGACAAGATAACCCTCAGGATCTGATTGAGCAGCTGGATAAAGTTTAGTATCACTCAATGGAAGAGTGATGGAGGAGAAACACAAATTTTGAAGTGGCAGAGGAAAGAGGTTCTGTTATTAAATCCTAAGACATCTTAACTAAAAAGCTTCTGTTTAGCAAAAGAAACTGTCAACAAGGTAAAGAGACAACCATTCACATGGAAAAATATATTTGTAAGCAATGCCTCCGATAAGAGTCTAATATACAAAATATACAAAGAACTCATACAGCTCAATAACGAAAAAAAACAAAAAACAAAAAACAAAAAAAACAATCCAATCAAAAAATGAGCAGAGGACCTGAACAGACACTTCTTCCTACAGGACATACAAATGGCCAACAAATATATGAAAAGATGCTCAACATCGCTAGCAATCCCTCTACTAGATATTTACCCTAAAGACTTGAAAACCCATATCCAAAAAGATATTTGCACAAATATGTTCATAGAATCATTATTCCACTGGCCAGGACATAAAAGCAACTGAAATGTCCTATGATAGATGATTGGCTAAAGAAGCTGTGGTACATATATACAATGGAATATTACTCAGCCATAAGAAAGATAAAATATTGCCATTTGTGACAACATGAATGGACCTCGAGATAATAATGCTCAGTGAAATAAGCCAGACAGAAAAAGTTGAAAATTACATGATATCGCTTATATGTTCAACTTTTAAGTTTATATATAAACTTTTAGGTTTATAAACCTAAAAGCAACAAGTAAACAGGACAAACAGAGACTCATGGACCTGGACAATGGACTAGTGGCTACCAGAGAGTAGGAGGTGGGGGAAGGGGGGATATAGACGGAGTAAAGAAGCAGTGGTACATATATACAATGAACTATTACTCAGTCATAAGAAGAGATGAAATACTGCCACTTGCAACAACATAGATGGACCTTGAAATAATCATACTAAGCGAAATAAGCCAGACAGAAAAGGTTGAAAATTACATGATATCACTTATATGTGGGATATAAATCTAAAAGCAGCAAATGAACAAGACAAAAAAACAGAGCCTCATGAACATGGACAATGAACTAGTAGTTACCAGAGGGGAGGGGGAGGGAGAAAAAATAAAATGTTAAAAATTAATTAATTAATTAATAGATTTAAAAAAAATCTTAAGATATCTTGAGGATCATAGATTCTTAAAGTTGAAAAGAACCTTAAGCATGATGTCTACTGGTGCTCCCATCTCAAAGCAAGGATCTCTTTTTCCCCTTATCATGGAGAAGAGAATCCTACTTTTATTCAGTCTTTTTAGAACAGCACCCTTGCCCATTCACCAGATGATTCATTGATGTCATCTGCTGCAACCAAATTTCTACTCATTAATCTGAATTTTTCTTTGTTGCTTTGAATGCATCTGGACACCTCTACCACTCACAGCCCTCTCAGTACCTGATGAATTGCCTGAAGTTGCTTTCTTCCAGGCTCAAGCTTTTGTTTTCTTAGCAATTTTTCAAGGTCAAGGAGTTCAGCACTATCCCAGTCCTGATTGCCCTCCTCCACATCAACTCTGGTCAACATCCTCCTTAAATCCTGAAGGGACCTGGCCCAGGCAGGGTGCTTAGGCGTCATAACTTTCCTTCGTATGGAAACTCATTCAGTCTGAGCCTACCTCGTCTGGGTATAAGTGTGCTGGGCTCACAGCTCCCCATCCATCCCAGATCTCTGGCAGTGGAGCTATATTCAAGTCAGGTGAAACATGCACAGGCATGCATGCACACTGACATTTTAGTTTTCTTACTACATAGTTTCTTACTACAGATAGTTTTCTTACTATCTGGACCTCACTGTGCATAGTTGATCTTGCCAGGAAAACAGGAGGGGTTGGGAAGGTGGATGAAAAAGGGAAAGGGATTAAGAAATAGAAATTGGTAGTTACAAAATGGTCATGAGAATATAAAGTACAGCATAAGGAATATAGTCAATAATATTGTAATAACTATGTATGGTGTCAGATGAGTACTAGATTTATTGAGATGATCACTTTGTAAGTTATGTAAATGTCTAATCACTATATTGTGCACCTGAAACTTATAATGTTGTATACCAACTGTAAAAAAAAAATATATGCGTGTGTGTATATGTGTGTATTTTTAACTAAAAGTAAATTAGCTTGTTTTCAGTTTTTATTAACAGCTAAGATTTTCCATGTTTTTACAAAGAAGGACAAAATAGTTAATGGGTTTCATCTACAGAAATTGCAGTGTCTGGGAGTATAATTTGTCTACCATTAGAGAAGGAAAATAGACTGATGTTCTCTTTCATCTTTTATTTTTTCTACTTTCCTCTTAATGACGTTTGTTTGACTTTTTCTGATTTTCAAATTAATCCCCTTGGGAAAGCAGATTGAAATAAAATAGAAGGTGTGAGTTCCTCTCTGTGTACTTCCCCATGTACACACTATACTGTCTACTAAGCAAAGGTCTTATCATTTGTATGAACCTCTCTTGTTCTTAATATAGTTTTAAAATCTTTTCATTTTTCTGTTGATTTGGGATTTGTCTTCTCATCCTCTTAACAGTGTCATTCATAGAGTAGTTTTTAATTGTGATGAAGTCCAAATTACCGATTTTTTTCTTTCGTAGATTTATCCGAAAAGTCATTGCCAAACTCAAGATCACTTCAATTTTCTCCTTTTATCTTCTAGGGTTTGGGTTTAATAGTTTTGTATTTTAAATGTAGATCTATGATCTAATTTGAGTTAATTTTTGTTAAAGGCATAAGGTTTGTGTCTATATGTTTTTTTGCAAATGAAGGGCTAATTTTTCCTGCATTATTAATTGAAAAGACTGTCTTTACTCTAGTGAATTACCTTTTCTCCTTTGTCAAAGATCAGTTGACTATATTTGTGTGGGTCTATTTCTGGGCTCCCTATTCTGTGCTAGTGATCTATTTATTCTTTTGCCAGTAGCATACTGTTTTGATTACTATAGCTTTATAGTAAGTCTTAAAATCGGGTAGTGTCAGTCTTTTGACTTTTTCCTTCTTCAATATTTTGTTGGCAATTATGGGTATTTTGCCTTTCCATATAAAGTTTAGAATCGATTTGCCAATATCCATAGTCATTTGTGAGATTTTGACTGAGATTGGGTTGAATCTATAGATCAAGTTAAGAACTGACATCTTAACAATATTGAGTCTTCTTATCTATGAATATAAGAACACTTATTTAAATTTTCTTTGATGCCTTTCATCAGAGTTTTATTAATTTCCTCTTAAGGATCATGTACATATTTTGTTAATGTTTCATATTTTGGAGTGCTAACATAGTGTGTTTTTCATTTTAAATTTTAATTGTTCATTCATGTATAATAAAGTATCCTGAAGACTTGTTATAATCACTTATTAGTTACAGGATATTTTGTTGATTCCTTGAGATTTTTACATAATCATGTCATCTATAAACAAAACTTTAATTTCTTCCTTCCCAATCTATATAACTTTTATTTCCTTTTCTTGTCTTATTGAACTAGCTAAAACTGCCAATATTATGTTTGAATAAGAGTGGAAAGAGCAAATCCTGTTCTATTCCTAGTCATAAGGGAAAACATCTAGTTTCCCATTATATATAATGTTAGTTGTAGGTTTTCGTAGAAGTTTTTTATCAAGTTGAGGAAGTTTCTCGCATTCTAGTTTGCTGAGAGGTTTAAAAAAAAAAAATCGTGAATGAGTGTTAGATTTTTGTCAGATAATTGTTCTGCTTCTATTGATATGACCATATGATTTTTTTTCCCTTTAGCCAATTGATGTTATGGATTACATTAATGTCAAATTAATTTCTTCCAATTTTGGAGCAGCCTTGTTCACCTGGAATAAATTCCATTTGGTCATGTAGTATAACTGTTTTATACTTTGTTGGATTCAATTTTGCTAATACTTTGTTGAGGATAGCATTTATTTTTGATAATCAAGAAAATTTGATAACATTTTTAAGTTAAATTTTGAAATCTTAATAAACATTAAAATTTCACATTTAATTTTAATGTGAGATGTCACAATCTCATGATACACAAGTGGTTATTTGGTTTACCTAAATGGTTTTATGCTTTTTTCAATTATATGTTGGGCAAAACAAAAAACATTTAAGTCTTCAGTCCTAATTCCTAGATTCAAGATGGAGGAGTAGGCTATGCCTCTCAAAGGAAGCCTCTGCAGTCGCACTGTAAAGGCAGGAGAGTGGGTGGTTGTCTGTGGAGATTGCAAGAAGTCTATATCCTGGTCATGTATGAAATTAATCTTGCCTTACTTGTGGAAAAGCAAACACATTTTTGGATATAATGAGATGTGTAGAAAATTTATCAGTCACAAATACATGACAATTGGATTTCTTAATCTATGGTTGGTAATATATTAGGGAACCTTGATGACAGACCCAACAATTTTTGTTCATGATGAAAGTTTTCTGTTCAAGTCACTGTCATTATCCCTCTTTCATTGTAACATACTATCATTAAGATATACATTTTATCATGACCAAATATGGGAAATAGCAGTTATGTCTGTCTTCTTTCAGGTGTTTGCCCAGCTACTGTGAACATGAGAGTGAATGCTCCCAGTCTTGGGACACCTTCTCCTGTGACTGCACACACACTGGTTATGAGGGTGCGACCTGCCATTCCTGTAAGCCTCACACCTCACTTTTTCTTCTTTTGTTTTGATTTTCATGTAGCTCTATTTTCTTTTTCATTATTTTGTGTATATCTGTCTGTGTCTGTAACCATGGGCTAGAATGTGACAACAACAACAACAACAAACTAAAACAAACAAAAGAGACTAATTTCTATCTGGTTTATTTTTAATCAATTTCATTTCCTAATTATGTTAAAACAGAAAACAGAAACACTTATCAAATAGGACAGAAAAAAAAAGGAAACAAAAAAGTGGCCAAGGAAGATAAGTATAATAAAATGTAGTAAAAAGCAAAAATTTCCCACTGTTTCCTAAAAAAAAAAAAAAAAAAAAAAAAAATCGAGAACTCATGATGTTATATCTTGTTCTTTTTCTTGAGTTGGACCCAATTTTAGTTCTCAAGTCCTGTCTGCTAAAGTAAAGAGGATGAGTTTTTGATTCTCAATATTTATAAAATTAAATGAGGAGAGTCTCAGAAGGCCCGAATGGGAGCTACCATGGTAGGGTTTCTTGATGTCAATGAGAAGTCAGGTAAATGTTCAAGTCCCACGCAATCTGGATGTTCTTGATGATGATGATGATGGTGGTGATGATTGTTAACATACTGGGAACTTACCACATGCCTGCAGTATTTTAAGTCTCTTCATCTTTCAACTCCTGTAATCCTTGAAACATCCCTAGAAGATAAATGTTGTTATTATCTACATTTTACACTTGAGGAAAGAGAGAGACTAAATCATTTTCCCGAGGTCACACAGCTAACTTCCAGCCAGAGCTCTTGACCACCTCTAAATTGCATCTTTTCGATTTTGAACACCAGTCTCTTTTCTGAAGAATTATTCTTTCAATTTTAAAGCTAACTAAACTTTATTAACCTTTTAATTCATTAGCTACTAGAAGCTTATGACAGAGCCCCTGAAATTCTCATGGCTTTCTAATTATTGGCTTTTGTTTTATTTACATTTTAGTTTTCTTTTATTTGTGTATTTCTGACATTTCTGAATCCCTGCTCTCATAGCACCTCCCCTCTTTTTGGTTCTTTAGAGAAAGAGCATGACATGAAGATTCACCTATTCTATCACATTCAATCCTTTCTACTGGGAAAATACAATGCACTCTTAAGAACTCTTCCTGTGAATTATTTAATTTTTTCCACAGTAAGTGTGGGAGAAAGGCAGATCATGGACTACCATGTATCCAACCTTATGGGAACTGAATCCCAGGGTAGCAGTCAATGGTGTTGGGATGAGAACCCTGGGGCCCCAGCCCAGGGGGATCCACAGAGGAGCCAGAAGCCTCTTGGCAGACAAGTGGAGGTGACTCATCCCTTAAACAACTCATAAGTTCAACCAAAGCAATTCTACTTGCATCTCTATTACTATCACAGTGCCAGGTAATAATTTACCAAGGAAAACCTTCATTTGAAAGGAGTTGCACATCTAGGAAAACTGAGGCTAAGCGACTTGGCCAGAGTCATAGTTAGGATTGGGGACAGTTTCTTATAACAACCTCCATCACTCCTAACAAAGTGTCTTATACAAAGCAAATACCTACTGAATATTAATAATTAAGGAATACTTGCTAAAGTGTTATCAGTAACTGTGATCTAAACATCGTTCCAAGTAACTCTGATTTAAAACTTGACAGATATTATATAAGGGTCTTTCTTTTGTGACCCTAATAACTGGATTTTGTCTAATAATTGAATTGACTTTATTGTGATTTTCTAACTGATATACCAAATGATGGTGAGATATTGCTGAATCAATAGTAAGTGATTAGCCCTTATGTTTTGGTCTAAATGTACTTTTTTAGTCTAGGAACACAATTTATTCATGTGTACATTTACATTTAGAGCAAGTTTCTTTGCAATCTTTCCTCCTTTACCCTTGTTCTCTAGGCAATTTCAGCCCCAACCCTAACATAAATACTGTGATCAATTTGTATGTATCCCTTTGGACACTTTTCTAGGCAATTATGAGCAGGTTTATGTATTTATAGAGATGTAAATATGAGTGGCCAAAATGCAAGCATAAAGGGAAAGCAATGCCTATTGCCTAAGTGTCCATCAGAGTAGATGATAATAGCTATGCTTTTGATTTGGGGCAATCTAACTTAATATGTTTGACACTTGGCCATATTTAATAAAAGAATGCTTTCTTTTGTAAAAAGACAAACATTCCTTTAATCTTATTCTATGAGGAAAGAAAAAAAACAAAAATGATCTTTCTACCCCTGCCCCTGGGTTTTTCTTAACTATTTGAAATAGGCAAAGTTTTTTAATTTTAATTTTCTTAAATAATCATTTTCAAAACATTTCAGGAATTTTTTTAAAAATACAAACCTTAAAATTGAATGAAGAACAATTGCTGATTTGTAAATTTTACCTTCTTGGAAAAAATGTACTTCACATGTAAATTATTTTAAGTAAAAAAAGAGTATAATTACTGAATAATTTAAAAAATCAACATGATTATTAGATAATAACAGATCATTTATGGTGGTTAAGCCAGTGCACTTCAGATGCTTAAATAGTGTGAGGCTGAACTAGAACTAGACTGAGTAAGTCCAATTACCACAAATTTGGAAAAAATTTTATTTCTAGAGCATGCAGGATACAAATCCACAGGTCTCCACAGTGATACCTCTTAAAATCTTTCACTCTGTGCTTCAGAATCTTCACATTTCCTGATTGAAGCAGGGGAACACAACCTTGGAGAAAATGTCCCTGAGAGCAATGCAGAATAAGTGTCAGTGGGACAATGAGAGTGTCACATAATTAACAATGTGGAGGGATCCATCCCATTGTAGCCCCTAACTGAGATCAATGTCCTTTGCAGCTCTCTACGAGCAGTCATGTGAAGCCCACAAGCACAGAGGGAACTCTTCAGGGCTCTACTATATCGACTCAGATGGAAGTGGCCCATTGAGACCGGCTCTTGTATATTGCAACATGACAGGTATGCTAATAAACTTTATTGTGAGAATTAAAACACGTGTAAATGCCTGTTTGCAAAACCAGGGTGAGAAAAGTAGAATTTACTTAAGTGATACTTTATTTAGATTTACATTATGAATGTACTTATAACATTGTCACCATTTGGTGACAATGTGAAATCCAGAGTCACCCCAGTGGCATGGGAGAGAAGGAGGAGATGGATACTGGATGGTGGCATTGTGTGTTGTTCTTCAGTTCTTCTCCACCAATGCAGTAAAAAGTTATAGGTGGGCGAGATTGAGAAAAAGTAAGGTTTATTTAAAGTACATTTTAGAAGGAGACAGGCTGTGCTAAGAAAGGCTGCAGCCCTGTGGAATTCAGGAGGTGAAGAGATAAGATAGTACCCCTCAAAAGGAGGAGTGGGTCTCCAGCAAGGAATGTTGTAACCATGCAGAAATGGGAAGGTCTGTTTATATTTGGGCCATGATGGGAGGTCCTAAATGATCCGTATGTGATGTCACCTTGACTGACAATTGACTGCTATATAACTTCTTGCCTAATATTCATGTGCTTACCCAGAATTCAGTCTGTCATAATTAGATTCATGAACTTCCAGGCATAGTCATGAGATTATAATGATGGTATAATGAGGCTGAAATTAAGGGCAGTACTTTCTGTGCATGTGTTTGTAGCTGGTTTAGCCAACAGCTTTTATGGCCTTTGTGCTCTAGGATTTGGGGTAATTTATAACCCTAAAAGGGAGGTATTTCTGGGAGGTACTTAAGGAAGGTCTTCAAGGAAAATTTCCATGGTTACAGAGCTGGGCTTCGGCTCCTGCCGCTCATGCCTGACTAACTACCTAACAACATGATTGCTCAGAAGTATTAAACATAGTGTCTTAAAAGAGTTAAGAGATGGCGATTAAAAGTTGTGTCATTATTTTCTGGAAATGTTCTTTTTCTGTGCAAAATTAACAATAAATCTTTGCTTATTAATCTAAAACAGAAAAGGATAAACTTTCTTAGTTCATGTCAATAAATGCCAAAGACAGGAGAATATTCACTTTTTAAATTTATGAAATCATCCATTTGTATTCTTTTGAATCTTTAATTACATGAATTTATCTAGGAGGTAATGTTCCTAAAGTGTACACACTTCATGCAGTAATATGTTTATATGCAACTACGTATAAGTAATATTTTATTTTCTCTAGAAACCCAATTATATGTGATGGATAAATACATATATATCATAAGCAAGTCCTTTAATTCTTTGACACTTTTAAATTTTACAACTAAGCCTACATGTATAGAAGTGCAAAAAGACCAAAACCACCACTATAGTAAATGACAGCTGCCCTAAGAGAGTTGATACAAATTCTTATCTCTCTTCTGTCTATATGTGTGTATGTGTATGTGTGTTTGTATGTGTATATGTATCTGTACCCACAACTTCCCCTTCTTGCTTACATAACATTTCACCAACAGAAAAGGAACAATCTTTCTTTATGATACTTTCTGTATTACTCTAGAAATCTGTAGTAATAGCAGGGACTTTAACATCCACAGAATTTGACTCTGCAAATTCTGAGACAATGTTCAGGAAAAAAATCAACCTTAGATGTTTCTAAGGTAACTATAAGTTAGTTATAATGTGATTGGTCTGTTATTATGGCTACCTGTCACCCTGATAGGGTTGCAATTTCCATAAAGAAGGTGTTATTCTTGGATAAATTTATGATAATGGTTTGAGTAGCTTAAAATCCTGATGCAGTTTTTATACCTACTACCATTTCATATGTGAAACAAAATCTAAGCATTTTGGCAGTGGGTTTATAATTTGATCCAGTATGTCTTCCAACTTGAAAACTCCCAAAGTCGCACAGAATATGTGAGAGCTCTCAGGGCTTTGCATTGGATTCAATGTGTTTGGGTCTTTTAGACAAGTACTTGTATCATAAAAACTGACCAAAATATTGCAATGTGATCATAGAGATAAATACATTGACTTACTTTTACTAAAAGATGTGTGATCAGTAAAATACATGAGAAAACAGTCAAGGGGAACTTTCTAGATATTCTCGGTTCCCGTGGATATAACAGGCATTTAAATTACTCAATTTCTGCTTCATTTCACTTTCATTATCATGGCTCAAGTGAATGCCAAGAACAAAGAAAGCTAAATAAAGATTCCGGCATCCCAATAATACATTCCCTTTTATCAGTCATGTGCTTAATTACCAAAGAAACCTGTGACCTTTTCAAGATTTTTATTCATTTTGTCTCAGATTAATCCTATGAGTAGGATTCCATATACACTGAAAAATTCCGAGATTTATAGCAAACCAGAAATGATCTCAAGTGGCACCCAACATGAGTTAAGTTTCAGTGACAGAAGCTATTTTGTTGATAATTGATTGTTGGCAGATTTGGTAAGGCTGAGGTCAAGTCACATTTTCCGCCAAGAGGAATAATTGAGAGCTAATTGCCTGGTTGTCTGTAGTTTATTGTCGTAATAAAAGAAAACTATTTTAGTCATCATAAGTGAAATGGGGTCCAGGCTTAGCCATGAGGCTTTAGTTGTGCATATTTATAAAGACCCTTTGGAATGGATAACTGGTTAAAAAGCAGTTTGTTTTAATACTAGTTTTATATAATAACTGATGTGTTTTGATTCCCAGTAATTATGTTGTTTTCAGGGTGAACCTTGGCACCCCCTAGAGGGAAGACTAGTTATTGTCAAAAACTATAAACAGACACTCAGCTTTTGATTTTACTTAACTTAGGATAATACCTAATGCTATATAAGCAAGTTTTTCCTACTCTAGAGGCAAATAGGAGTCTCTAAATATGTAAAGGAAAAGGTAATTAACCTCTCTGGTCAATTTATACACTTGATGGCCTTGAAAACTGTCTTCTGAGGAAGTGAATCATTTCCTTCCCCTTGATGGCCTTGAAAACTGTCTTCTGAGGAAGTGAATCATTTCCTTGACCTGAAGAAATGTCCAAGTAAGGGCAAAAATTGAAGAGATGCAAAAAGAGCTTCTAACAACATTGAACACATATGTAGCCAGCACCTACTCTGTGCCAGGCAAGGCTGTAATCACAGCAGGGAGCGACAAAAGACATATCCTTCCCTTGGGGGAGTGAGAATGAGACACTTAACAGCAGCTAACCAAATACGTGGCATGTTGGAAGGCAGTGAGCACCATAAAGCAAATAAGAGAGAGAATAGGGGCACAGACTGTGGGAGGGTGGGCTACAATTTTAAACTCTTTGAAAGGAAAAGACTTAGTTTGGAAGTTAAATTTGAGCCGACCACATGAAATAAGCAGCCCTGAGAAAACCTGAGGAAAAGTCTCCAAGTAAAGAGAGTAAGCAACTGCAGAAAGGTTGTGGCCACAGGGAGCCTGGTGTGTTGGACAGACCAGGGTGGAGGGACCAGAAGGTGGCCTTCCCTCAAGTCATGTAGCTGGAAAGTGGCAGGTCCAGGATTCACACTGGCAATGCACTTTGAGCCTACAACCAGCATGCTGCTCCAAGAGGAAGCAAAAAGAACTCTTAGGAGTAGCTCCAGTAATTGAGCCAAGATGGGATGAAGTAGAGCAGATTGAGAGCAGAAGAGATGAGAAAGGCTGGAATTAGAGCCAGTGGACAAGATGTGGGTGGAGAGGAAGAGAGATGTCAAGGTGGGCTTCTGTGTTGGGATCTGAGCCCCGGAAGTAAGGTGCAGATATTATCAACAGAGATGGAGAATTCCTGGGAAGAAGCATGGATTCCAGTTGTTAATATGTGAAGTTTGGGTTGCCTATTGGTCTCTTGGTTATAAAAAACAATTGTAATGTGTCATGCTCACTGGCTGGTTATAACATCCTTAACACTACAAACTTTTAAAATAAATTTGGAATGTGATTTTATAAATTAATTTAACCCAACAAGAGGGCTCTCTTTTTCTACTGTCACTGGTGGACACTGTCCAACATTCCACAGTAGCACAAGGTCCCCACACACTTGTCCCTTGAGGAGCAGCATCTCAGGAAAGGCTGTATTTTTCTTAAGCTTCTCTAGAGATTCTGATGTGCACATGGGTCTAGAAACCACTGTCATGAAGCTGAGTGTCTTTGGTTTTGGTGTGCACAAGCTACTCTTCACAAAAATTAAAATGAAAAGGGAGCAAAGAGCATCACAGAATGGAGAAATAAAATCAATGCAGTCATGCAATTTTGATGCCACTATTCATTTTGCTGTCCAAGCAATGGTCCTGTTGTTCCCACTTATATAGGTTGTATGGGTGACATTTCATGGTCCACCACTGAAACTTTGTGGCTTTGATGTGTCCACAAATGCAACAAGAGTTGTTCACAAATATTAAGATAAAATACAAGACATTAATTCTATAAATTAAGTATCTCCTAAACTCTTAATTCAGTCTTGGAAAGTCTTAAGAGCTTTAAGGTGTGAGTGTATAGGGATTTATGAAAAATATGAGTAATAATTTAGTGATTGACATTGTTATATACATTTTTATTATTAAAGAATACAGATTATTGTATCACAATGCCTTTTGGGCAATTAAGTGTTTTAGAGAAGTTTATTGGTATCTAATTCTCATATAAAAGAAAACTCCTGAAATTAGAATATTCATATTCTATGTGCCAAGATAAATATTCTGTGGTTCTATAAATTAGAATTGAGATGGAACATCAAACGGATCATGGAACACACACACAGAAAACAAGATGGAGAACAGGACTTAAAAATAGTTCAGCAAAGATTTCCAAATAATATTAAATAACAAGGATTTTTATTAAACCTAAAGCCATAAGGAAAACAAGGTGCTAATGACAAAGAAACACAGACGTTCATCCAAAGACCCCAAAACTATCTCCAGAAGCAATGCAACAAAGTATATAATCAAAAGTTTAAAAACTTCAGATTGTTCCTGGGAAAAATGGAAGAATATAAACCAAAGTTATAACTCAATGGCCCTTTCTAATATGGAGTCCCATGAAGTGCCTGTGAC